ACACTTAGCGACCATTGCGACCATTTTTGCACACTTAGCGACCATTGCAGCATCCTCATGGTCATGTGATCTAAATTTTGTTTGGCAACAGATTCGTATTTATGATGGTTTCAGTCCTGGGGTCATTAATCGCCTTTTGTGAGCTTTTGACAAAATATAAATTTTTTAATCAAGCCCCCCGATCCCCCTGGTCAATGGTGTCCCTCTTTACCAATCTGAAAATCTGGTCACCTTATCTCTTGTGCAACTTCCCGAGGATCCGGAGGCCATGTGCATAGACACCACATTCTTACCTGGCCTCTAAAGCCTCTGAAAATCATGTGAGAAGCTCCTGTAGCTTTTGGATGTCACAGAACCACTCCAGAAGGTGGTGTGCTGTCATGCAGCCTCCAAACCCTCTGGAGGTCATATATGAAAGTGCTGCTCTTGTGTGGCCTCTGGAATTTCCCCCCAAAAAACATGCAAGAAGTTATTGTGTGATATTCAGAGATCCGGAGGCCATGTGAGAGCAGGGCCTTTTGGTGTAACTTCCACCGGGTTTGGACGCTTCATGAGAGTACACCACATTCTCTTGCAGTCTCTAGAAACATGACCCAAAAATGATACTCCATGTCACTTTTGGTACACCATCATTGGTCTAAACCAAGGTCACAAATGACTTGATATGCAAACAACTAAATAAATCAGTTACTGAATGTTTCGACTACTTCTTCCCAACATCTCATCGCATACCGAAAAGCACCTCTAAACTACTCTATGTTGGAGCGATGGTAATAAAATGGTTAGCTTTCTTCCTTCACTGATGCCGCATTGAAGAGAAAATAAAAGTAAGCCAAATAAATAATTACGTATTTGAACTGAAGTTTTTTTTTATATACAGCATATACTTGTAGATAAGCTGAAAATTGGGTTGGGCTTATCTGTGAGTCAGTGGTGGGTTGGAGGCAGGTATGCCCCGGTATGAGTGTACCCGAGCCTACCCCTCTGCCAAAGCTCCTTATCTGTCTTTTAAGCCTTTGGTGCTTCCGTGCATGCGCAAGGCGCATATGGCGCCTGTGTAATGCTCCGTCGAGCAGCTGGAGCATTGCGGAGGCTTGCAGAGGTGTTGCAGGCAGGTACGATGTATGCGTGCAGTGCACTGTGCATGTGGGCACATGTGCCGCTTGCGTCCATCTGCGTGACGCTGGGTCCATTCAAACAGTACTGGTTGGAATGGGATCCGGAACCCACCACTGCTGTGAGTACATGTGATAGCTGATTCCAAGCAGATGTGTGGAAGGTTGAAGCAAAGATGACAAGATACAATAAATGCCAAGTTAGACCCGGATGTGACTTTTGATCATACAAGTTAGCAGTTGTTGATTTGAAAAGTGAACCCTGCACCTCAGTGGTGGGTTCCGGATCCTGGTAAAACTGGTATAGTGCAACAGGGCCAGGCATCCACCACATGCATGCATGCAGCGTGCGCACAGCATGTGCATGCATACTTACTGCCCACGATGCTCCGCGAGGCTCCAGCTGCTCGGCGGAGCGTCATGCAGGCGCCGTATGCTTCATGCGCGTAAGCCCCTATCGGCTCAAATACAGGTAAAGAGGGCGGGTGGGTGGGCCTTCCAGAATACCATACCAGAACGGTACCTGGTGCTCCCAGCAGGCACCGGTGTGCCCGTACTGAGGCATACTGATCGTATTCCACTACTGCTGCACCTGCAGGGGAAATGCTAGGATGTTCCTGCTGCTGCTGCTGCTTCTGCTGTTATGTGGTAGCTGATTTATTTTTTTGCATCAATTTATCAACGGCACATCATTAGTGCAGAATCACACAATGTTCTCAGTGATTTAGCAAATGGGACAATATTCAGTGTTGTCTTGATTTCCATGACTTTTCTCTGACAATCATGCAATTGCTAAAAGTTCCTTTGAGCTGCCAATATGCCTGGAAGATTTCTGTTTCAACTATCATTGCAATAATTATATCATTTTCAAAATTACATCTACAAAAATTTCAATAGATTGTGCATAAATGGATAGAGTTACATTGAAAATTAAACAAACAGAAGAGACAGAATATTATCAAACATGGAATTTATTTTACCAGGGGTTGGAAAAAAAGGGTGGAGATTACGAATGTAATCTATATTGTTAAGCAAATTAAATACCCAGACAATACGATGTTCATTAAGCACCAATAAATGTAAACAATAGAAAAAAATCAATATATTTACTTTAGTGCACTATGCTTATATTTAAAATAGTATTAATTTGATCAATGTACCATATGCTGATTCTTTTTATTTAAAAAATCACTTGTAGTGTTTTCCAGAGGACAGTAAAATCTTGGAATTTTATGAAAAGAAGCAGAGAGCACAGATGCATGGCATTTGTTTCATGTGTGTTGGATTCATTTTTTGATAGCATATGCTCTCTCCCCACCATCTTCCATGAACCTTTTCCAACTATTTTCACTCCAGACTGGAAAAATTATAGGGTCAATGCCTACTCTGTAGTCAACAGGTGATGACAATGTACTCTTTATTTTTTACTGGGACTAAATGAGACATTTCCTTCCTTAAAAATTGCAGGCATTTCCTGTGTAAATATGTCCCATGTCATTTACTTCAACCACAATGACGTACAAATCAGACTTTGGATAAATAATGCACTGAAGGTCTGAAAATTTAGCAATTTACAGACCACATCTTCCTATTCTCAATTTCATCCACTAGCGGCTGTCTGAAAGATAGAGTTTTGGCCTGTTAAAGAATTCCTTCAGCAGTTTTAATGAGCTGCAGCTCCTCATAATAGGTCTGCTTCTTGGGATCACATTAATATAGCAATGGGATTTCACCACAATCAGTGATCTATGAATTGTCCCTGAACATTGCTTTTCAAGGAAAACTTAATTACCAAGGAATAGAAAATTGAACACAATTCAGCTAAAGATCCTGGTGGGATAAATATATGATCTTTCTCCAGGAAAATGATGCTATGTAGTCTGACATGAGAATGAAAGAATAGAGGATATTTATTATGCTGTGGCATCTATTTGTAGAATGTTGTAGAAAATACATGAGTATTGCTGCAGCAAAGTAAGCCATAGGATATGTTTTCTTTAAAGACTTTAAAGACTCAATCAAATTCCAGTGCACTTGACTGAGAGTTTGATCTACCTGACTTTCTTTGGTAGTTCTTCACCAGACAATGGTGATTCTTCTAATACTTCTAAGACTCCTAGATGCTCATGAATTCCATCAGCTAGGATACAAGGCACTGCAAACTGAAATGTATAAAGTTTAGTCCATTGTAAGGCAAAAAAGCCATCTCTTTCTGTTAACATGTTCACTTAGAGCCAGAGGGAAATATTGCACAAAATCTGTCTGCAAAGAATTGCAATTTAATCAACCTTGACTATGACAATATTAGTTTTAGCAAAGTAAATGTGAGAAGCAGTACAGTTTATTCATGGTTATTTAGAAATAAGCTCTACAATATGCAAAAAAGGTTATACTTGGATAAAGTGAAATTGCCACTTAAATTGGCTTCAATTAAAGTAACATCTGGAAAGAATCCTAGATGAAGGTGATAACTAGTTTATTGGTATTGTTTTCTACACTCTATGAAAATAGAGGAGGTTGAAATACTTCTACTGTGCATCTGTGTTTGTATTCTAGAGCACAAACTCTTTACATTTATCATTAAGCAAGAAGCTGATTTCACCCATGGACATTAAGAAATGTTTTATGGAGATGGAGTGCATGAATTTACTATACAGACAAGTTTCAGAATGATTTTGTTTAGGGACTAGGACAGTAAAGTAGCTTAACTTTGAGTTCAATTAGACCTGCAAGTTGTGAATCACAACTCCTGAAACTGTTGAATTGCATAATATGCTGAGTGTTGTATTGGAAAAAAAAACATATGCGAGGCTACAGTTTCATTATCCTTTTCACAGCCATGTTGGCGAGGTGATGCTTATTTTTAGTATCGGACCATGCCGGGTTCTGGTTGTGAGATTGTACAGGGAGTCATTATATCAAAACATTCTCCTGCTCAGATGACTCAGTCATTCCAGCATACAGAAATATCTCAGTGGAGCACCAACTGAGAAGAAGTGATGTGTAAACATACACCATATCCCAAAACTGTTAGACTCAACAAAATCAAAGTCAGTACAATCCAGTTTATATAAAAAAATAAAATACTTTATTTTTTCTTCTAAAAAGGTGCAAACATGTAACTTTTGGTCACATTTCTCAATAAGTAACAAACTGTTCCCAAGTGAAAAGATTTAAGAGCACACATTTTGTTTCAGGGAATATTAATTCAGACCGAGAGAAATGTACCTTTCTCCCTTTGTCATTAGTTTGGTGAAATGGTCGGATAGGATACTGGTGCATCTTCTTCATCAAAGTACCAGTTCAGTTAATTTTTTCCCCTACTAGTTCAACAAAACTACCATTACAGACTCTATTTTATGAGCTGAATGAATGCAGTGGATCAGACATGCTTTGAATCATAAAAAAAGAGAGGCTAACACTGATGTATCAAAGCATTGACAAAAAAGGAAACACAACTTTAAATTAAGTTAGATAACTGTACAATATATATACACACATACATACAAACACGCATGAACACATACACATAAACATATACACTATTTACACTATTACACTATTTTTTTAAAAAAAAATGTTGCCCATGACAAGCAAACGATTGCCACAAACTGTCCAGTCAAATTCTGATTCTTTTTGAACAAATCCTCTGAATCAGAGTTTCAAAGGTAGAATTATTGCCATTTTCAAATAACATAATTACTTAGCACCTGCTGGATAAAAATGTCCAGTCCAGCTGTTACTGTCACAAAAACCAGTGCCAATAACTTTGCTAAGGGGTCTTTTTTGTTTTGATTGCACAATTAACTAGGACACATGCCACCACGTTTTGAAAATGTTTCTCAAGACTTGCCTATGTCCCTTAATTAATCTCTATTCATCCCTCTCCCCAAATATACTCTGAGACACAAATTAAGTGTCACCTCTCACTAATCATTGTCAACATTATATTCCTATTATTATTATTACTATTATTCTTCCTTCAAACCAACGTTTGGGGTCAGTAGATAATTTGACCTTAAGGCCAAGGTGGAACAATTTTGTCATTTGTTTTTTAAAAAACGCAGACATTTAAATCACTTGTGCTATAGAATCACGTTTAACAAAATGAGATGTCATTATCAGTTCAAGTTGAGTTCAGAAAAAAAAAACTCTCATGGGGACTTTATGCCATGTCTCCATACATCTTCCGGTAGTAGACTGATTCAAAGATATCATTGTCTCCAGGACAGTTATAGTGGCAGGCACAAGTCTTGATAAACATCATGCTCTTCTTGATGACTTCACCATCAGGGCATTTGAATTCCACAGGAAGAGTGGCTGTTCTGTGGGGGGTGCAACAACGCCCATCAGTACAGACACCACAAAATTTGGCTCGGTAGGTCTTTACACTGGTACAGCCAGACAGCTCATACTGGATAGGTTTAGAGATCTTCGGTGTGCGGATGCATTTTTTACCTTTCTGTTGAAAAAAAATTCTTACATCAAATAAACAATGCTTCCATTCAGATCACCAGCATATGCAATATTTCCAATATTTATGTTTTTCTTAATTTCTTAACTTGTTAAGGTAAATCCTGGGCTAGAGATCAACCAAAGAACCTCCAGATGTTTTGGACTTCAATTCCAATAAGCATGGGATAATGACCAAACAAATTATGGAAAACGAATCCTGAAATTCTTGAAAGGCATTAGTTGTCTGCCCCCGATCCAGCTATAGTTAAAGTCCACTACAGTTGGATACGACTGGATAGGGGAAACCATTGTCTTTACTTTTAATATAGATATCAATTGTTTCTATGTTTGGCTAAACTTAGCATCCAATCTTGTAGATATATTTTTGTTACTCTTATACATGTCTCATGGTCAGGCAAACTCATATTTGTCCCACTCTCTAAATAGACTTAAATTTGCCTTGTTCGTACCCTTTATTTATAAGTCTAATTTTCCTCAGTGGACTTTTAGAAGAATGTTCATGCTTGGTTCTCTTGAAAATTTTATTACTACTCATAGAAATCTAGTTTCATGTTGGAGTTTTTAAAGAAAACCATACAAATAGGGCAGTGGTGGAGTTGAAATAATTTAACAACCAGTTCTCTGCCTTAATGATTTCTTCCAACAACCAGTTCACCAAACTGCTCAGAAAGTTAACAATCGGTTCTCCCGAAGTGGTGCGAACTGACTGAATCCCACCACTGAAATAGGGTTAAGATTGTAATTCTGTTTTTTTTTTCTCTTGGGAATAAGACATCTTGCATTTTATTAATGGACCAGTAGATATCCAAAGTTGCGCTATAAATAATTTTGTTCATTGATTATTTACATTTACACTTCACATTATTACCAATACAAAAAAGGAATTACAATATTAACAAGGTTTAGAGAACATCATAACTTGGAAAAGTACACATATAATCCTACAAGAGGAAGTTCTCCAGATCAACCCAATATGGGCTATGATACAGGGAACAGGTGCGCAGGAAAGAAGAGGAATTCAGCACTCTGAGGAAAAGCAACTATTTTTTGCAGACCTACTTGTTGAACAATTTTTACAACTTACTGAAAATTAGTTTGTATTGCAGATTTTTGCAAAGCAGGATAATGTGATGAAACATTTTTACAGAAGCAAGCAGCAGAAATGGGAAATTATTTACCTTGATGCTCTCCTCAAGATCTGCTTCGCATGGTCTCACCATGCAGAGTCTGCTTTGCTTCTCCAGCCTGCAGTGGGCATTGTCATTGGTGACTCTGGTCGAGATTCCCATTCCACAAGTTTTGGAGCAGGCACTCCATTCTGTGGTCTGGACCAAGCAATTTGCACGCATCAGGGATGGGTCAGGTCCATAGGTATCTTCTAGTCTGTAAGCTGAAAAGCATAGGGGAACAGTTCGCTTAGAATGGACATTAAGAATCAAAGTGAGTAAATGTGGTTATGACAGAAGAAAGACAAAATTTGTCTAAGTAGTTGAAGCTAGTATAGCAACAATGGAAGAAATATGAAGGAAAATCAGCTTACCGGCAAGAGCAGGTCCAACTGCAGTGCGTTCTTTGTCCTTGGGCTCATCACACACCCATTCCTCACAGCATTTCCCTGGGAGCTTCACTCTGCGTGGGTATGGGCAATCAGGACTGGGCAGACGAACATCCATGCTGCAGAGGGGCATGCAGCCTACAGCTCCATCCAGACAGGTGCACTGGTATTTGCAGCTACTCTGGAAGGACTCGCCACTCCGATACACCATACCTCCAAATATACATGGAGCACCATCCTTTGCTGCAGATAGAAAAGGGATTTCATTCATAAATACATTAGTAGCAATGGAGATCTCGGGAATCTAGAACTATACAAGATAAGGGCTAAAGAGCCTCCAAGAGCCTGCTTCCAATTTTGTTTATATTCAGTTCCTCTGCCTTTAATAACAGGCAAGTGTAGAAGTGTAAACCTCCCAAACTATGGCAAGATGTTCTATTCCAACTTTTTTTTTAATACAGTGCTTCTATTCTAATTAATTGTCAAGGTTGGAAGACTCCTTATAAGACTTGTGGATTTCAACTTCCAGAATTCCTCTTGCTGGTTGAGGAATTCTGGGAGTTGAAGTCCACAAGTGTTAAAGTTGGAGACCCCTGTTCTGATGGATGTCACCAGGTATGTACGAATTACTGTATGTCAGATTCTCAGAAATCATAACTAGAATTCTAGGAATTGTAGTTGTTAAACATTCCTAGGAGCCTTTGGGAGAAAACTGTCCAATCAGACTCAGTTTTTTAAACGGAATATACTTGAACCGCAAAAGGAAAAAAGCTCTCAGAATTGCATGGCTTTGCATAGCCCTAGAACAGTGTTTGTCGATTTCAGCAAATTTTTAATCCCGGCAGGCTTCCCTATTAGGGAATTCTGGGAATTGAAGTCCATTCAACTTAAAACTGATGAGATCGAGAAACACTGGGGAAAAAAAGTCACCCCCTCCCGCATTTTCCACTCTGCTCCAATCTTTCCCGTTCCAAAGAGAGCGCCGGCAAGCAGAACAAAACAAAAGGCGACTACTCACCAGTGCATACTCCGATCTTGCGGTTGTCCGGGGAGCCGAAGTCGCAGAAGAGCCCTTTGTGAGGATCGCAGGGATCCCGCTCGGTGCAAAGGTCGCCCAGCTGTTTGGCGCAAACGCGGCAGCACCCACAGCCATCCAGGACCAGGCTTACCCCAGGAGGGCACTCGGGGGGCAAGGAGGAGCACTGGCACTTCGCGCTGCACTCTTGGCCGGCCGCTTCCTGGGAAGACAGAGGGAGGTAGAGACGGGGAGTCAAACAACGCTCCAGCAGGTGGGTCCGGTGAGTAAAGAAATAGGAGAGACAGAGACAGACTACCAGCCTCAGAAAATAACACTTACCCAGCTAAGAAGAGCGGCGAGGAAAACCCAGGCGAGGGTGCGGGCTTCCATCCTTCTTTTTCTCGCAACTTTTCGGCACAGGGAGATGGGCAAAAGTTGCTGGCTCTCTTTGGGAGCGGAGCGGGTTGCCTTGTCCAGGTGGGGTCCGTTTCGGTTTTAAATGTCGCTGGCCGGCGAGGGCAGATCTTGCTTCGATCTCGGAGGGAAAAAGTGCTGCTTTCTCTCCCCTTTCTCTCTGCTTTTAGAAGGAGAGCGATGGTGGGTCTGAGTCTCCAGCAGGCAGCGGCGCTGCTTTTATACCCTTGAGGCGTCCGGGACTCGCCAATCGGCTGAATGGAGTCCCACACAAACAGCGGCATTCCTCGCATTCCTCTCCACCTTCCTGCCTCGTCAAGTCACACCGGATTGATCCTGACCCCTTGACACTCCGCATTCCTCCTGTCTGAAAAAGCTGGCGCACTTCAGCGCACAAAAAAGGCGCTGTATTTTCACCGGGGAGGGGGGGGGAGAGAGAGAGAGAGAGAGAGAGAGAGAGAGAGAGAGAGAGAGAGAGAGAGAGAGA